TGCCTGTTGACTTTCCTTCTTCTTTATGTAGTATGAACTAAGAAAGGTATTAAAATTTTCGATGGCTGTCTTTGTTGGCTTACCAGAAAATAATTTATGTACCTATAATGTTTATACGGCTTAGTTTGGTCTGCGGTTTGGTATGACAAATTCGTATCGCGTAGGAAGGCCGGTTAGGTTACCTAGATCGGACATTCTATCTCTTTAACGAAGGCTACGTTACTGTTTGTGGTTCCCGGCTAATATTTACGTAATATATGTATGTGCAATTCGCTTGTAATAATGTCATTTTATCTAGAACTAAATATTTTCTTATAATCCAAATGGCTATTATTAAATTTTGAATAGTCGACCCAATATTGTTCATTTTTAAACAGTACTTACATATTTCTACAACAATTTAATGTCGGACATTAAACTTAAATTAATTTAGCATTTAAATCCTTTCACTGTGAAGTTTAACTTGTTTTTCTGATTACCAACAATTTGAATGATGAGTGAAGTTTGAGCACAGTTATTAATAAAATAGATTTTTACTAAAACGACGCTATTCACAAGGTTCTACGAAAGTTATTTGAAGTGTTCTTCTCATCGCTCTCGCGTACTGGAATTAGTTTCTTAAGTGACGAACTTTCAGTTATCAATCATATTGACGCGGTCGTTGTGTCTAGTATTCCAAGTTTTATGTGTGACGTCATAGAGCTGCGCGAGTACATATCACACGATGCGGGTTTACTTCAAAGAATACAAGATCAAAACGGTGAGTCTATTGAAGAAATAAAACAAAATCTAAATCTTTTACAGTCAAACATTGATGGATTGTTTTTTAAACAAATCTCTACAAATACTTCGGTTTTAACTTTCTGAATTTATAAACATTAAATATGCACATAAAATTGTAGTTAGTTCTGACGTCTTGTATTGTATCGCCTATGGCTTAGTGGTATCGTACGGCCTTTTAAATGAAATGTCTCTTGTTTGGACTGGGCCGGTATATCTAAGGTAAGATTTGCAGTAGGCAGCGGCTTGGCTCTGCCCCTGGCATTGCTGAAGTCCATGGGCGACGGTAACCACTCACCATCAGGTGGGCCGTATGCTCGTCTGCCTACAAGTGCAATAAAAAAAAAAAGATGGATTGAAATGGTTACAGAGTCCATATAATTTAGTGACCTTAATACTGTGCTACAAATAATCGGAACGCAAAAATGCTTCGCTGCAGATGTATTCGTCTATAGTATCGTAGTACCCACCTTAGTACACTCAATATTTTTTTAAGGGTTTCAATTCATAGTACCATGTTGTTCCTTCAGACTTTTGAGTTACACAGGCTAGATTAATTTTTATTGCGAAAAACAAAACACAATTACTTAACTGTTTTATTGGGCTTCGAAAACATCATATGGATGTACCTAATTATAAGTTTATCCACGAATACGTGCGGGCTGGAAGTCTGCTAAATCTGTTTTTGACAAAGCACAGGCGATGATTGCATCGTAACCGTCTGTGAAGATAGTAGAAGCTATGCAATTTGTTTTTTAATCACGTTAATAGTTCTTCGTGGTAATGTCTCGTCTGTATCCGTTGTACGTTCGCGATACTGGTTCCGGTTTCAAGGGCGGAATGACTTGTGCCGTGCACGCGACCAACCTACCGCATGTCCACTGCCTCGTGCTAATGAGGTCGGATCCGTTCGCATGTTTTAAAACGTTTTACGCTTTTAGATGAGAAAACAATGATTTTATCTATACTTAATATTATAAAGCTGAAGAGTTTGTTTGTTTGAACGCGCTAATCTCAGGAACTACTGGTCCGATTTGAAAAATTGTTTCAGTGTTAGATAGCCCATTTATCGAGAATGGTTATTATAGGCTATATAACATCACGCTAAGACCAATGCAAGCGGAGCACCAATAAGGAATGTTTCGAAATCGGGGTTTTTTTCTCTTTTGAGAGCTTCCGCTGCGTGCGCTGCGGAAGCGGTTAAATTTTCGCTAATAATGTATGAGAGAATGGCTCCCCTTCAAAAGACCTAAAAAAAAAAGTCCGGGACAGCATATGTCTATATTTAAAGATTGGCTCACTATAACGTTTTTTATGATAACCAAATTTGTTCTAAAATAAAGCATTATTTGTGAAGGTGTTTTTATAAAGATGATATTAATCCCTATCCAAATAAATATGTTATTCATTACAACACTGAAATACCCAAATCACTTCAAGATAGGCTTTAACAATTATAGATTTTTCTGGATTTTTCCATGATCCCATCAGATCTTGATGATTACAAGACCGTTCGGGAAGTCTACCCTTTCGAACAAAAAAAACCCGTGCGAACGCTGAATACGTCCTACAACCTACATAAATTAGTTAATTTGCAATATTTCAACCGCTAAAAAGTTCCATACTGCGTAATATAATACCAGTATGTTGACTAAAACATTTGTTATATTAGTTTTTCATTAAATTAACAAAGTATTAGTTCACTATCGAAGCATTTTCATTATCAAACTTTGCACGTTATCATTACAAATAAACGATATACGTACACGCATACTGCTGAAAGTAATATACCACAATCCGTGAAAATTTTATATGATTTTTTTTATTGCTTAGATGGGTGGACGAGCTCACAGCCCACCTGGTGTTAAGTGGTTACTGGAGCCCATAGACATCTACAACGTAAATGCGCCACCCATCTTAAGATAAAGGTTCTAAGGTCTCAAGTATAGTTATAACGGCTTCCCCACCCTTCGAACCGAAACATTACTGCTTCACGGCAGAAACAGACGGGGTGGTGGCACCTACCCGCGCGGACTCACAAGAGATCCTAACACCAGTAATATATTTGTTTTGCGATACATTAAGCTGATATTTCGAGCCATAGATTTACACTAAATTAGCGGATTAGTCTAAACTGTTATTAAATGAATTGCGAGGAAGGCAACTCAGTAAATGTCCTCAATAAAATCTTCATTTGAATGTTTATGAATTGTTAAATAAATTCAAGTTAATTTTTTTTTATTTCATCCCCAGCAGCTGACGCTGCAATGTGACTCATTAGTTATTTTCTTGAATCCTAAGTAAGCAGTTTTAGAATTTTTTACAGCAATACGATAATGGTTCCCGGAGTAATCCTTACAATGTTATCTAACCTATCGTAAACAAAATACATATGTATGTCCCTTATTATCAAATAACACAATACGGTTAAAATTAAACTTTGAAATACTCTATACGTTTAAAGATTTCTACGGAATAATTTGCAACCATGTACACAACCTAATTATTACAAAAAAGGTTCAATTATATCATTATTATATTTAGTCTAGTATGATATTTGAAAATTAATTACCTACAAAACGACCTACTATTTAATTTATCCTTTTATTAATATTTATAATTAATAATAGGATTAATTAAACTATTATTAATAAATAAGGATTCATATGACCACGACCGCTCTGCCAAGAGTAACAGACTATGATTAATAATAATAAGTGGCGGGCACTTATTATTATTAATCATTCGTACTACTACATTCGTAAAGTAATTAAGTAGTATTTTATCTTGATAAGGGCCAAACAAATGTAGAAGAAAATATAAAAAATAACATCATATTATATGTATTAGCCAGTAGTTACTGCGTGATGCGCGCCATTGTGGCAGACTTCTTATCGTTTTATTTTATCTAGATAATTATGGTGTACCTGACTATTATTGAATCGCTTTCGACTGCCTATGAGAAAGTCCATTTTAATATGACCATTATTACAGTTTAATTAAAGTAGTTTTACGTTAATGGTTGAATTCAGTCTACAATTTTATAAAATTTTATAAAACATTTTTCTAAAACTATTTCATTTTATAAAAGTGGACAATAGTTTTGGAAAATGTATTAAAAACTTTTTCTTTTTGTAGACGTCGTAATTCTCGAATCACATTCACCCCGAAAGGTACCCTCAAATGGGGTGCTCAACCTCTGAATGTCTGTTCGGGACCGAAGATCCCTTGCGAATGAAAATCTAAAATGTATCGAGATACGTGAATGAACTCACGAATAAAATAATATGAAACGCAAGTAATAAATATTTAGGTTGAAATAGAAATTTCTGAAGACAAGGCAACATTGATAGATTAACGTAATACATTGCATAAAATAAATTTATGATAGCTTTAAAAATTTATTAACCCGATAAAACTCTTATTGTGTTATTGTCAATTATTTTTTCTGACGCATCGGTATTCTGTTTAATGTTTTTGTCTAAAACTATTTACTTGAAAAGTTTTAGAAGATCTATCGGTGTAATATCTTTGTGTTGTGCAGTTACGGTGTTGTTCAGACAATTACGAACGCATGAGTCGTTCAATGTATACGACAAGAGACATACGAAAATGAGATGCAAGTAATTTAAAGTTAAAGTTTTAAAATTGATTTTCCGTTTTCGTACAATAATCTTATGTCTAGCTTCAAATGAAATTTAAAATCTGTGTTAAGTATCATTGTTATACTATTGAAAGAATTTTAATTGCGCATGACAGATAAATGTAACTATACTTGAGACCTTAGAACTTATATCTCAAGATGGGTGGCGCATTTACGTTGTGGATGTCCATGGGCTCCAGTAACCACTTAACACCAGGTGGGCTGCGAGCTCGTCCACCCATCTAAGCAAAAAAATAATAATTACGAAAATGCTAGTGGAATTGTGATTACGCTGTTACTACATTCCTGAATGTGAAAACCGCTTATTGAAAATTCACGCGCGCCATCAGTCGTACATCCATGGTCCTATGATAGGAATCTTCCATGAAGTGCCAACAACAAATGTGTCAGGTTTCATCACATTCGCGGGAATGGACTAGGAACGAATATTCGACACACGTTAATTTTTTAGGTTTTTTATTTTAATTTACCCTATAAATATAATCTGAATTATAATTAGATCTTTCATATAAGATCCTCTAAGATTATTTTTATAAAACCAAAGTGTTTCTTACAGCGTTCGACGGGACCAGAATGTACAGCGCCTTGCCTTCGAGCTCAACCCACTACACGAACCACGAGCACGCCGAAAAAGGCTCCAATGCAGGCGACCACCACGAATAATGAAGCCACAGGTATGTTTTGTTTATTACTCTTTATTGCATCGATGGATGGATGAGCGCAAAGCCCATCCGCTGTTAATTAGCTACCAGTGCCCATAGACATCACGACGCGAATGCCGTGCCGTGCCGCAATCTTACAGCCGTTTCGTGTTTTTGCTGATCAAGTCAATATCGTGTCGTTAAGAGTAAAACATTTCTCATGTTACACTCTTATAAAGTTTAGACGTAATCACAGGAGTATAAAAATAAAAGGTCATTAATTTCAGCCGCTTAATTTAATTTTTTTTTTTTGACTAAAAAAGATAAAAGTTACGTATATCTAGAGCAGTTTAAGAAAATATGTTATTTTAAAAAAAATCTAAATTATTTAAAGTATTTATTTTGCACAGGAAACCAATAATTGTCCCAGGAAAATCCTTACAAAGACTTGCTTAAAGTCCGCCTATGCTTTAAACACATACACTTACTATTGCATTTATTATTAGTTGATGCTCGTTAGGATTAAAACCAGTGCAGACCACCATAAAATCTTCAACGTACACTATCTATATATTAATACGTGAAGCAAAAACTTTGTATCCCTTTTTACGAAAATTGCACGGACGGAGGAGTATGAAATTTTCCACACTTATAGAGAATATAGAAAAGAACTGCACAATGCTAATATTTTTTTTAAATAATGCATAAAAGATACATTAAATCAATAAAGAAAACATTACACACACTACATACCATGTATTTGACGCACACACTCATGCATACTATTTTATTGGAGTTTACTCCTTAAGAATCGATTTACATATATAGGCCCGGGGTATGAAAATTATGGGGACCAAAATCGTACTAGAGAGTATAGCATGTCACACGAAATGCGTTATGCGCCTGATTGGCCATGGTGATGCGTGCGCGCGCCAATCAGGAGCCAACGCGCGGCCGCGTTATCGCAGGTGACGCCGGGCCGCTGCGCCGGCAGTCCGCCACAAAGCCTCGTACTGATCGCGCGTTTCTCTCATTATTGTATTTTCATATATTTGTTAGTCGTTTGTTTTGTGTCTCGTTAATTTGTTAATAATCTGTAGTGTATCGTGTTGTCGTAATATAGAACTATTTCTCGTATTGTTTCGTTTAATTTTTTATATCCAGTAAACTCCAGTCGTGCGTCGGAGCGGACACACACACTTTTTTNTATAAACAATTCCTTCTATCAGTGAATGGACAACTTATATATTAATTGTAAAAGTGAATTATATAGACTTACTTAATTACCGCATCCACGTGTTCCGCAACTCCCGGATCATTCTCACTAGAATACGTAACTTCCATATTTTACTGTATTCAACTGACACAAATTTATATTTATATCCAGTAAACTCCAGTCGTGCGTCGGAGCGGACACACACACTTTTTTTATTTTCAAACTTTTGTTCTTGACGTCTGTTGTCAAATTGAGAATAGATTAAATATTGTTTGTCTTTGTTAATATTTTTTATAGTGTAGTCTTGGCGAGATTTGTGATTATAGAAGTATAAAATAGAATCATAATAGTGTACAAACTTACAATTCCAATTAATTATAGTCGAATTTCGACTACTGCGGGACCTCTAGTACATATAATTATGTCAATGCAAACAAAATTAGCAATACCGCCACATCAAGTATTGAAATCGAAATAAAGCCATTTGACACTATTCAATCACCACATTTCATAGGTTTGCCCTTTTGTCTATTTTAGATCAGCACCTCGACCATGAACCGAACTCGCGTATCGGTTACACAATGCTATTGACGCGATAGACCACTATCGATGTGCCAACCGAAATCACCTTGATATTTGATGAGGACTTTTAATATTTCACCCATTCTATATCGGATGGATGTATCGTCAGCGTTTTGAGTGGTAGAAATAGTGTGTTGACAGTATTATCAGGATCAAGGACTGGATAAAAATCACGTTACTGTTTCGTGAACGAATCATTCATCATCAATTTCATCTTTAATCCGTTTGCATCAGAGAAATCACCCCCGCTGAGAGAGCGGGGACTTCAAGTTGGGGCAGAGGGTTGGTAGGACCTCTTGTGAGTCCGCACGGCTAGATACCACCATCACCCTGCCTATTCCTGCCGTGAAGCAGTAATGCGTTTCGGTTTGAAGGGTGGGACAGGCGTTGTAACTATACTTGAGACCTTCGAACTTATATCTCAAGGTGGATGGCGCATTTGCGTTGTAGATGTCTATGGGCTCCAGTAACCACTTAACACCATGTGGACTGTGAGCTCGTCCATCCATCTAAGCAATAAAAAAAACAATGCAGAAGCGTGGTCGAAAGTTTTTGTAACTCGTCTGTGGGTAGTACATAATTTCGTTTGTTAGAAATTAATTCATTCAATTCCATGCGTTTCACAAACTTGTTGATTTTGAGTAGCTGAGTTGTTTGTTTCAATTCGGTAAACACGATTGGATTTTTACGAATGTATTTATATTAAACGAAGCTATTATATTACATTATATCGTGAATCTAATAGCTGTGAATTTCGTTCGTCGAAAGTCGACGAGTTTGACATCGTTAAAATACCTTACGAAATTCTTTTGCGGTATCACGTTACATTAAAATGGCTAATTATCTTGGAATCATCTAATGCGTGCTTGATAATTTCGTTTCGCAATCAATTAGTGCCATCGATTTTTTATTGTGTATCAGCATAATTTTTTTTTGGAACGAAGTTCCTTATAGGACTATTCGGAGGGGTACCCTAACCGGCAAAAAACGTCCGTAACGTAAGATTTTTTCTATTTAGTTTGTTATTAACAGACGTCACTGCACGTAAATTTAACAATTCCTGAATCGCGGTGACGAGATGTTGCACAGTTGATAGACGTTCTCGTATTTCTCTTGCCAAATTATACTTACCTGGCGTGGGGGATACCATGGTCATGCAGGCGGTTCCCCCAGGACGAGGCTGCTCCATTGCACTGCGGAGTACGGAGTGGTTGACCCTTGCGATTATTTTTATTTTTATCAATAAAAAAATCATAATAAAAAATGTATACCCGAATAATTATTTTATTTATATCTCGAATAGAACTTAAAATTATTATTTTTATGATATTATGGAACTTCGTTCCTATCCGGTATCCCACGACACCACACATCTTTTTTATACCTGACACGAAGGTGACATTGTTCTCGAACGGCAATACGTTCGAAAACAATAAATCGATAAGGAATATTCGAAAGTCGTTCATTTTATTGCCGGATACAATATTGTGGAGTAATTAAATCAAATTACGGTTCGTGTATTTCCGCTTGAAAACCCTCCATCTATTTCGATGCACAGTGAATTTCCTAGAATTTGCATAGAAATTATAAGATTTCATCTACGATATTAAATACGCGATAATATGCAGCGATCGTTACGTCATGACACGTACAAATATATAATTTCATGTAGATATACGTGTGACTTATAAAAGAGTGTTATAAATTATTGAAATTATGTGTACATATAGAGTGATGGATCTCAAGACTTCTCAGCATTCTGGAGTCTACACCTTAGTCGTGTCGATAGTATGAATAATTTAAATCATGTTGCTGGTAGTACCACATTCTGGTACAAGTAGAGAATTTAGAGTGGATTTCTAGAGGCTAGATAAATGACATTTTCGGGGTAAAAGCTTCAAAGATAGGTTTTTGAAGTGAAAACTTCTTTAGAATCGTTGTGATTTCAAACCGGATGCAACGGAAAAAACGACAGGTAAGAGACACAAATACAAAAATGTGTAGGATGAATGAGACAGAAATATACATACTATTTAATACAGCGCCATCTGTGAGATTTTTTAATACTAACGTGTGTATGAAAGCTCTTGTAGTGAATTTTAATTTAGGATTATACNTAGGATGAATGAGACAGAAATATACATACTATTTAATACAGCGCCATCTGTGAGATTTTTTAATACTAACGTGTGTATGAAAGCTCTTGTAGTGAATTTTAATTTAGGATTATACGTGAAATTAAAATATCAATTCACAGAGGGCGCTACCTTACAATTATTTACTAATGACAAAATTTTACATATACTTAAGACGTTTCGGATGATTGTATTTTAATTTTGGAAGGTTTCATTCACTTCTACCACGTGTGAATTGCACACTTTTTCTAGCGATTAATAATGTATTTGATCAAGATTCGAAAGTCCGTTTAATATATCACTACATAGTATAAAACAAAGTCGCTTTCTCTGTCCCTATATCTGTCCCTATGTATGCTTAAATCTTTAAAAGTACGCTACGGATTTTGATGCGGTTTTTTTATATAGATAAGAGTGATTGAAGAGGAAGGATGTATAATAACATCCATTAAATAGTGGATAAATCAATAATAAATTACAGTTTCAGTTAAAGTTTACGTATTTTGGGAATATAATTGGCGCCTTAAAATATGGAGGAGCTATTTATCTAGACAACCTGTTGCTCGATTAGAGACTTCGCTATGTGGTGACTTATCGTGTCACGTCGGTGTTGTATTAGGCGACTGTTCTCAGAGTATCACAGCATATTGCGACCGTATTTATTAGTGATAGTGCTTATAATGGTTCGTATGTGTGGGTGATATCGTCATTCTCATGTCTGCCGCGAAGCAATCATGCGTTTAAGTTGGAAGGATTAGAAAGGCTTTGTAGAGCCTTGTAGGAACCATGCAATTGCGACCTAATGTCTCAAGATGTATGACTGCATTCACGTTGTGATGCTCATTGATTCCGATGATCGCTCAAAGGCCCATAAATATAATGCATAACAATAGGTACCACCACTCTGCCTATTTCTGCCGTGAAGCAGTAATACGTTTCGGTTTGAGGGGTAGGGCAGCCGTTGTAACTATACTTGAGACCTCAGAACTTATATCTCAAGGTGGGTAGCGCATTTACGTTGTAGATGTCTATGGGCTCCAGTAACCACTTAACACCAGGTGGGCTGTGAGCTCGTCCACCCATCTAAGCAATAAAAAATA